GTTGGTGCCCTTTAGTTTTTATCCAGTTTGGTTCCCCAGATACTATTAAATGGCAACTCTCATCCTTTTTGATTATCTGTCATGAGGACTGGGAACTGCAAGACAACAGCATTTGTGCCTCTGAGGTTGGGGAAAAGTTAAAGGATAATTTTAAGTCAGTTATCATATCCACCGCACACTGCACTTGCCCTATAATCCTCGTATACCACCTGCCACATCAGCACTTTTAATCCTGTACCCATTACTCTGGCCCGGCCCAGTTTTTATTGTGTCTTGATATACTGTCTATTGCATGTCGTCAATATTGCTTTAACTGTTTTTAATTTTGCTTTTGGTGTTATATTGTTTGTGTTGTGTTTTGTGGCCTTGGTCTTTGTAAGCCGCATCGAGTCCTTCGGGAGATGCTAGCGGGGTACAAATAAAGATAATAATAATAATAATAATAATAATAATAATAATAATAATAATAATGTGAGATATGGTCTGAATGAGTGTTTAATAAATCACAATCAAGATGACCACACCTCAATGTATTATGTATGAACGCGGTAGCACTCCTCGAGCCTACAAACGCTTCCAGGTCAGGCTTACTGACTAATCTTGAAAGCCATTTGAAAAATGCCCTTCACATCATATAATTTTAGCACATGTATACTAGAATTTTCTGTGACAAATCAAGGGATTCCACAAAATATAGCAATGGCATTCAAAATGGCATTGTTTTTATTGCTTTTGTGATGTTTTATATTGTTTAATGTTTTTTATCTATATTATGTTTTATGTATACTGATTTGTTGGAAACCGCCTTGAGTCGCCAATTGGCTGAGAAAAGCGGTATACAAATACAGTAAATAAATAAATAAAACGTAAAGGTATAGGTTTTCCTTGGACATTAAGTCTAGTCCAACTCTGGATGGTGGTGCCCATCTCCATTTCTAAGATGAAGAGCCAGCATTGTCCATAGACACCTCCAAGGTCATGTGGTTGTATGACTGCATGGTGCGCCATTACCTTCCCGCCAAAGCAGTACCTATTCATCAACCCACATTTGCATGTTTTCGAACTGCTAGGTTGGCAGAAGCTGGGGCTAACAGCAGGAGCTCACCCCGCTCCCCGGATTCGAACCACTGTTTCAGTCAGCAAGTTCAGCAGTTCAGCAGTTTAACATTAAACTATCATAATTATGAAATATGAAAATGTCATCAGAGGAGTACAAGAATACCTATCCAGAGAAATGTTACAGCATGAAAAATCATAAAAGATAACAAGGTTGCTAAACAGATTAGTTGCTTATACTACAATCGATGCCTACTTACCTTAGATTAAGTCCCATTGAATATAACTGGATTTACTTCAAAGTAAACATAAATATTTCGATGGATGTAAAAATCTCATTTATTTTGTGCTGTTACTAGAAGAGTGTGTGAATCATTCAACAAATGCAAGAGAATCAAGTAATATGTTCAAACATTATTATTTGCTTCTAAACAATGCAAAGTTATTACTAAGCAATGTTTTTTTACAGGTTGGATTAAATTACTCAGCTACATTAATTTAGTAATGCTCTGCGCTAATAACTGTGATCAAGCCATTCATACCAACTGCCTCTTCGTGGAGTAGCAATTATTTTAATTAAAAAAGTAAACATTTATTATATTGGAAAGAAGCATGTGTTAATAATTGATATAGCTGATTGAATCTACCTGAAGAGCAAGTACTTCCTCGTAAACAAAGCACGCTTTGTTTATACACCTTCCTTCGGCATGAATACTTCCCTGTGGTTTTCAAGATAAGAACCATTAATCTGAGAGCAATATATAAAAATAAGCAAGCATGCAAAGCAAGACACTCAGCTTTTTATTACTTCTAGGATCTGGCATTCATGCAAAAAGTGCTTCTATTCATCTTATTCATGAATGCGTATTTCAAAGCAAAAGAAGCAAGAGGGGGGAGAAAAGGAATGAAGTCAAAATTAAAGTTCTCTACTGAAATATCCAGTGTATTCCCTCTCTGAACATACATATAGACCACTTGGACTCAGAGTAGAACTTCCAGATGTGCCAGACTACAACTCCCATCAATCACAGCCAAAACGACCACTTTGATGTGATGAAGCCATAGTCTGGGTAATCTAGAAATGGAACAGATTGGGGGAAAATGTTCTAAACTAGGAGTCGGCAGCTGTGGAAGGGTGAAAAACCACATGTAACGGAAAAACTAATTATAATGGAGGTTTTGTCTATGTTTATTTATGTTGATATTATGGCAAGGGCAGGCAGGAGTTGGCTACATATGATTGGTTGATGCGTCACCATGGTTGAGTAGCCTCTGCAGTAGAAATGTATCCATTTTAGAGTGGCTAGCAAGAAAAAGGGGCGGAGCTTGCTGAGTAGAAAAGAGGGAACATTTTAAAAATGAGTCAGTATCTAGCCAGGGGAGCTAAAGTGAAGAGGTTCCTAATTTAAGTTTGAGTCTTCAGATATGATACTGAAGTAATAAAGGGACCACTCTGAGTCAGTCTCTAGTCTGGGAGATAGAGGGAAGAAGATCCTTGTATAAGATTGTACTTCCAGTTGTGGTACTGAAGTAATAAGAGACTAAATTGAGTCTAAGTCCTCAGACAGGTGGAATTGAGAGACAGAGAGTCCTTTGAGACTAAATTTACAGTCAGACTATTGATGGAAGAAAGTGACTATAAGATATACGTTATCCAGACGGAGGGCTGAGGAGGTATTACATTTGAAAGAGAAGGAAGTTACCTAACCAAGTTGACATAAGTTAAACTGTTCTGAAAATTATATAATATCAGTTTTATGTATTTTCAAGAGCAAAAGACAGATGTAACAATATCTAGGTGGAACTGAAGTAAAGTACTGTGTAACAAATACGCTTTATGTGCACAGGAATTCATAAATAAACATTTCTTTGTTTCAACTAATATATTAAGAGTTTCATGTCAAGTTACACGACTGAAGTTACATTTCTGAAAGTCAGCTGGAGATTAAACAGATGTAACCTGTGAGACGTTGGAAGCTACATACCGACTACAGTACTGGGTTACACATCAAAAAGACATATACAGACATTTAAAATTAAATCCTGTAACAAACAAATATAAGAAAGGTGACACAGAGATAGCATATTTCATGGCGTGAATCACAAGTTGTTGAGTTTCTGCAAGGTTTCTTCTTCCCTCTCCCCTTTATCGGTACAATTGCCTGGTGCATACATATACATATAGGTTTATCGGCAGCAGAGGGTGGCATATTAAAAAGAAAATAAGAAAAAAGAAAGGGAAGTTCCCCTTCCTGACAAAAAGGGTTTATTGGCATTGCACCACACTAGTCTTGCATCACTTGGAAGGATACCCCCTGTCCACAACTGCACCCAATCCAGCCAAACAATAATAATAATAAGACCTGGATGTTCCAGTGTGCCTTTGAAAAATAGTTTAGCTACTGATTAAGTCTGTCTAGCCCTAACCTCTTTGGTTGGATTCTAGCACTTTATTCCTAGCCCAGGCCCTACACTTTGCATTTGCACAGGCCCTCGTTCTGCCTTATTAGTCTTAAATCTGCACATGCCCTCGTTTCTTGGCTACTGGTTGTTTGGTTTATGTTTTATGATGTCTTATATTTTATTTGTTTTACTGTTCTATATATTTGCTGGGTTTCATCCCTGACTGCACAAGTCTCTAGTCCTCAATGAGTAGGTAGACTAGATAGGATTGGAGTGAGGGATTCCTTCCCCAAATTCCTATGCATGCATATCCCAGAAGGGGCTTTGTTTTTCTCTTCTTTCTTGCCACTGTCTCCTCCCTCTTTGAAGATGTAGCAATGTAATATCTGTGAGAGATAAAGTAACTTCCTCTTTATAAGGTATTTTAATTGCCCTGGGTTTGGCCATGTGGTCTTGTCTGCATTTTGGCCTTTTCTCTCTCTGCCTTTGTCTTTGAGTAAGGACACATTTTGCCTTTCTCCAGGCAAGATGTAGTTGCATGGATATTTTTTCTTATTTTTATCCTTTTACCTTTCTTAGAAGATAGCTTAGTAAACTAGTTAGCTCTAAGATCCTTTTCTATCTAGAATGAATTTCTTTTGGCTTCAATAAATATATTTTTGGAACCAAAACTTGTGATTCCTGCAATCCTGATCCATCCACTTGAATGGAAACTTATCCTGGGTCACTACACATAAGTTTCTGCTGGTTATGAACTGTGCTTCTGGCACTCTGCTATATTTTTGTGATATCACCCCAAGTGAGGGTTTATTTTGAATCTAACAGCTCTGATTCCCACCAATATTTTATTGTATAAGTTTTTAATTATGTTCTTTGCAACCTTGTTTATACTGTGCTTGGTCCCCATGCGAGCTGCCCCAAGTCCCTTCGGGGAGATGGAGGCGGGATACAAGAATAAAATTATTATTATTATTAATAATAATAATAATAATAATAATAATAATAATAATAATAATAATGGACCATCTGCCTGTGACAAAGAACTGGTGAGATCACAAGCCTGAAAAAGGTACAGAAAATGAACACATCAAACTACTCTGGAACTTCCGAATTCAGACTGAAAGAGTTTTGGCGCACAATACTCCTGACCTCACAATCGTGGGGAAAAACGAAATATGGATCATCGATGTTGCAATCCCAGGTGACTGCAGAATTGACGAGAAGCAACTGGAAAAGCTTCCACAATGTGAGGATTTAAAGATAGAACTGCAAAAACTCTGGCACAAGCCAGTCAAGGTGAAGGTCTTTAGGTACTGGATGCAGTGCCTAAAGACCTTCAAATAATCATGGTCCAGCCATAGATATGGGACTTAATGTATAGCAAATAATGTCAGCACACCCATAACACATTTTTAAAACTGGAACTCTCAAAAGAACAGCAGACAACAGAATATAGATAATGAGCCATAATGGCCTCAAATGACCATCAAAGCATAATTGTAAAAGAATCAAAAAGTAAAGTGATGCTAGAAGACACTTGCCTCCCACTCCTGCAGAAACTTCTGGGCCTCTTCGGGTCTGACTGATTTGTGTCTCCGGAATTCGTCTTTCACATACTGATCTCCCAGAGCCTTCAGCTCCAATGGCAAAGCCCTGTGCAGCTGCAGGATCTTCTTGTACAGAGTCCTTACCCGGGAGACATGAAGGCTGACACTTCCTGGCATAACCCACAACAAATGGCACTGGGCTCATCTGATGTTGAGAATTGTGAGAGGCGTTTCAGACCAAGTTGGCTCTGCGAAAATAATTTGAAGAGCATAATAAGTTGGATGATAACAGTAATAAGGCAGTTTAATTTTATATATATATATATATATATATATATATATATATATGCGCCATGTGTGTTTTAAGCTCTATGAATGTAGAACCATGGACATGAAGGGATGACTATATTTACTTATTTATTTCCTTTGTATGCCACCTCTTCCCCAGAGTTGAACCAAAGACACCTCCCAAAGAAAGTCAACTGAAAATAAGGAAAATTAAAAAACAATTAAAATTCCATGTATTGTCCAAGGCTTTCATGGGTTGTTGTAGGTTTTTTCGGGCTATATGGCCATGTTCTAGAGGCATTCTCTCCTGACGTTTCGTCTGCATCTATGGCAAGCATCCTCAGAGGTAGTGAGGTCTGTTGGAACTAGGAAAATGGGTTTATATATCTTAAAATTCACATATTAAACAGTATAAAATCATTTAAAATATATACAAAAGTAAAAAAAAAATACAACCACAGATTCCAATAATATGTTTTCCTGATTACAAATGAAAATTTAAGCAACCAAGTTTAGAACAAAATCTAAGAGATTTCAGAGATAATATAATCCCATCCAGCATAGTTGGGAGTAACTATGTCAAATCCCACCATATTGCTTATTGCCAATTCCATGCTTATGTTGCTGTTACTGTTATTTTTTTGTTCAATTTGTGACTGTATGTTTTGATATTGTTGCTTGGAAACCCCAGGGAGATAGAGCGTATATGAATAAAGTTTTGTTGTTGTTGTTGTTGTTGTTGTTGTTGTTATTCCACCTGCAGTATAAAAGGTTACAACCCATGTAAACCTTTTTCCTCCATTGCCTTTTGAAGTTTTTGTATAAACTGTACATTTTTTAAATAGGAGATAGCAATCCTGTCTGTGAAACAATTCCTTGATTTGTTGAATGCCACTTTGAGCATATATTTATTAAGTTCTAGTTGTTATAACATCCACCTCTCATCCTGTATCAAACAATCTCAGGGCAGGACACAGAGAACAAACCAATTTTAAAACTGTGTATAAGATGTAACACTAGCCATGAGCGCTCAAAGACCACCAGCATTGAAGCGATACTCCTACGCCATCAACTCCACTGGACTGGTCACGTTGTCCAAATGCTGGATCACCATCTCCCAAAGCAATTACTAAAGTCCCAACTCAAGAACAGGAAATGTAATATTGGTGGTCAGGAAAAGAGATTTAAAGATGGGCTTAAAGCCAACCTTAAGAACTGTGGCATAGACACTGAGAACTGGGAAGCCCTGGCCCTTGAGCGCTCTAACTGGAGGTCAGCTGTAACTAGCAGTGCTGCAGAATTCAAAGAGGCATGAATGGAGGGCAAAAGGAATAAATATACCAAAAGGAAGGCACGTCAAGCCAATCCTGACCGGGACCGCCTTCCGTCTGGAAATCGATGATCTCACTGTGGGAGAACATGCAGATCAAGAATAGGTCTCCACAGCCACCTACAGACCCACCACCAAGACACTACACTTGGAGGACCATCATCCTCGGGCCACGAGGGATCGCCAAAGTAAGTAAGTGTGTTGTGCAAATATAACGAGGAATGACAAACATACTGGAAAAGTATGTTATTATCATTACAAACATTCACGTAATATGTCATGTCTCTATACATTTCGTTATCACAATGGATGCATCAGTTAATATATATTTTAAGGGGTTGGTTTAACCTCCCGTTAGCTAGTAAAACTGAATTACTGTGTCGCAAAGTGATGCATGTCTCAAAAGTATGTCGACAGACATGAAACATTTGGAAAGCTCTGTCTCTATCACTGGCGAATTCACACACCTTGACACCTCTTGAACTGCCATGGCTCAATGCTATGGACTCATGGGACTTGTAGTTTTGCAAGGTCTTAGACCAGTGGTTCTCAACCTGTGGGTCCCCAGATATTTTGGCCTTAAACACCCAAAAAGAGTTGGTAAACTGGTTGAGAGTTTTGGGGGTTATTGGCCAAAACACTTTTGCCAAAGTGTTCTGGTGCCTCACCAAACTACAAATCCCATAATTCCATAGTTCAAGTGGTATTAAACTGCAGTAAAGCTCCAGTGTAGATGTCCCCCTCCCGGCATGTTAATCAGCCTCCTCCCAAATAAACCAGAAGCATATTGGAAGGGAAGCTTGAGCAACGACCCAAGGGTTCAAGGCCCTTCTTTGGGATCAACCCCTGCAAGGCTAGAGCAATCAGCAACCATTCTGGGGGGAGCCTTTGCGTCAGGGGCGCTGGTAAAGGAGGCGCTTGCAGCGAGATCTGTTTGGAGCTGGGAAAAAAGAAGTCCGGGGAGAAAAGCAAAGAGTCCCAGGGAGGAATGAGCTCTGTTACCTGCTGGATAGAAGCAGCAGGAAAGGAGACCCGGAGCATTGAAGCCAAGGCACCAGAAGGCGGTCTTGCGCCTGGCTCCTCCCTGGGAGGGACTGAGAAAGAGCAGCACTCTTCTGTGGGCATTGCAGAGTTAGGGTGCATCCACACTGTGGGATTAGTGCAGTTTGGCACCACTTTGAACTGCTATAGCGCCCTGAAAGTTGCAGTTTGGTAGAACACCAGCTCTCTTCTGTAGAGAGGGCTAATCAAGACCTTGCAAAACTACAACTCCCGGTCCAACTGGTGCCAAACTGCATTTCATTTATTTACTAGCTGTTGCGGCCAACTTTCCTCTTTCTCTCCTTTCCTTCTCTCCTTTCCTTCTCTCCCTCTTTCCTTCCTTCCGTTCCTTTTTTTCTTTCCTTCTCTCCTTCCTTCCTTCTCTTCCTTTTCCCTCCCTTCCCTCCTTTCTTTCCCATCCCCTTTCTCCTCTTTCTTCCTTCTCTACCTATTCTTGGACTGCAACTCCCAGCAGTCTTCCTGGTCTGTCTACCTATCTATCTCTATTTGGAGGATTGCTGGGAGTAAGAAATTGGAAATATGCAGGAATTGGGATGCTCTCAAAGAAATCCAAGGAGAAGAAAGCTTGCAGCTTCGAAGCAGTGCATTTGGATCATCCTCATCTCCTAAAAGACCTGGTCTAGGGGATGCTGGGAGCTGTAGTCCAAAAGAGAGTGTGGATATGCTATTGTATGTTTTGTTTGCCAGGGGGAGTTGTTTTTGTGCATGCGCTGTAATGTAATTTTTTTTTTTGGCTTTTTAGTCTCTTTTGCTGTGTTTTTCAGTGTTTTTATGAGTGATGGTCACTCGTTGGCCTGATAGGTGTCTTGTGTCCATATTTGGTGTCAATTCATCCAGTGGTTTTTGAGTTATGTTAATCCCATAAACTAACATTACATTTTTATTTATATAGACTAGCTGTACCTGGCAGTGCCCGGGTTATTTGAGAAAGGCATTGTTTCTTTTGAGGTGTTAGGTAATATCAATTAGTTAATTAGTAACACTGTTGATTAGGAAAAAGCCAGTCATTGATTCCGTTTTTAATGAATGCTCCCATTAGAAAATACATAATGATGTGGGTCAACTACAATTCCCAGAATCGTGGGTCAGTCTTCCCCAAACCAGGCCTGCATGCACAGTTGGTCATGTTGGGGGTGTGTGCCAAGTTTGGTCCAGAACTGTCATTGGTTAAGTCCAGTGCTCTCTGGATAAGGGTGAACTACAACTGTCATATGCAAAGGGGCAGTCATCCCCCAAATCCTGACAGTTGGCCTCAGTCCCGCAAACTCATCCAGTTTGTTCAGTTGCTGATCTATTCCTCTGTGTTTGCTGTGTGCCATAAGAAAGAGTAGGAGAGAGTTAAGGGAGAGAGAGTGGGCAGGGTCATGCAAATTCCACACAAGGAACCCTGGGATGCCTGCCTGTGGTGGAAGAAACACATCAAATCTAGGATGAAATTCTCCTCGAATGAAAGCATTCCTTGGATGATGGGCCGTAGTGTTTGGGGAAGACGTTGGCAGGGTTTGGGCTACATGTTCATGGCACACGCTATAACCTGCTATGTCAGTTGGAGTGCCTTTGGAGGCTTCTCAGTACTTGGAACTATAGCCTGTTTGTAGGGGGCAGAGGCTGTCTGTGTAAGTGGACACTTCTGCCACATACACACATACACATTTTTCACTTTTATTATGTGTATAGAAGATAGTAGATTTATTTTCAGTATTTATATTATATTCTGCCCTTCTCACCCCATAGGGGACTCAGAGCAGATTACAATGCACATAAACATGGCAAACATTCAATGCCATTTGGACATACAAACATATATAGACAGACACAGAGGCAATTTAACATTCCAGCTTTCCGGCTTCATGAGGGTATGCTTGATTCCGGCCACAGGGGGAGCTGCCGAGTCATAAAGCAGTACCTAAATTTCCTATTTGACAGATGCAACTGTCTTTCAGGCTGCATAGGTCAACAGCAAGCTAGACTATTAATGGTTGGGAGCTCACTCCGACTGGGCTGGCTTCAAACTCATGACCTCTCAATCAGTAGTGATTTAATGAAACTGGTTACTAACTAGCCGCACCACAACTCGGCCCTTAATTCTACAGTGTAGATACAGGCTGGATCTGCACTGCCATATAATCCAGATTATCAAAACAGGTAATCCAGATTTCCTGCTCTGAACTGGATTATATTAGTCCACGTTGCTATATAATCCAGTTCAAAGCAGATAATCTGGATTTCATATGGCAGTGTGGATCCATCCTCAGGGCTCTTCCTCACTACATAACTATAGCACAATGATTCCAGTCTTAACTGCTATAGTAACATTTTTGCTGCACCATCCATTTTGTGTTTTCTTTCTTTTCTGTCAAAACTCTAATTACAGATTAGCTATTGAAGTTATACATGTCACAAACATGCAGGCATTGTGTGTTTAGTGCAATTGCAGTGTTTTATATGACATGCAATGGGTCAAACATTGGAATGCGCAATTTCAATGGGATTAGATGCCTCTGCTAAATGTAGTGGTCCCAAACTAACCCATTCCTTTTGGTAACCTGCAATATCCCTTATAGCCTGTTGGGGGCAGCAGAGAGCTTTGACCTAGCCTCCAAAACAGACTTGTTGATACTATAGATCTGTTGATACTATACAAAGATCCTTCTCATATCTATATGACCAACTGCAATACAAAGACCTCATCTACACTGCCGTATAATGCAGTTTCATATAATTTAGTTTAACTGCATTATATGAGTCTATTTATTTATTTATCGTATCAGGAGTGAACCAAGGATGCAGTTGTAATGTACGAGGGGTATTTTTTTTAAGTAAGGTCCGCTTTGTTGTAGACACTAGTTGTTCGCGCGCATACCGCAACGAGCGCGTGCATCGTGTACTGGCATGCTTCGGGAACTACTGTGCTCAGTTTCTGCACTGTAGCTAACCTGTACGGTTCTGTTCTGTGCTTTAAAAATGTTTAAGACTATCAGCTCACACTCCGCATGTGAGGTTTGCTCAGTGATACGGTTTTTGTCAGCAAGGAACCTGCCTGCTGCAGAAATTCATCGACAGATTTGTGAAGTGTACGGTGATACTGTTATGAGTGAAAGCAAAGTGCGTAAGTGGGTACTGCAATTCAAAGATGGCCGTGACAACATCCATGATGAGGACCGCTCCAGTCGCCCTTCTTTGATTACAGACGATTTGGTTATTGGAGCAGGCAGCAAGTTTTTATGAAGAGGGTATTTTAAAATTGGTTCAGAGGTATGATAAGTGTTTGAACAAACTTGGCAACTATGTCGAAAAATAGAGTGAAGTATATACTTTCTGAAAATAAATTTACTTTTTTGAAATAAACTTTCGTTGTGTACTTATGTTCCAACGGACATTACTTAAAAAATACCCCTTGTATTTAAAAGAACACAAAGTTTACAAACTTGGCATTATATTAAATATCCTTTGACCAGCAGTTGGCCACTTGAAGTACCTCTAATGTTGCTATAAGAAGGTCCTCCATTGTGCATGTGGCAGGGTTCAGACTGCATTGTAATAGGTGGTCTGTGGTTTGCTCTTCTCCACACTAGCATGTCGCGGACTCCACTTTGTGGCCCCATTTCTTAAGGTTGGCTCTGCATCTCGTGGTGCCAGAGTGCAGTCTGTTCAGTGCCTTCCAAGTCGCCCAGTCTACTGTGTGCCCAGGGGAAAGTCTCTCATTTGGTATCAGCCATGGATTGAGGTTTCGGGTTTTACCCTGCTATTTTTGGACTCTCACTTGCTGATGTGTTCCTGCGAGTGTCTCTGTAGATCTTAGAAAACTATTTATTGATTTAAGGCATTGGCATGCTGGCTGATATCCGAACAGGAGATGGGCCGGAGATACCACTGCCTATGATATTGTTTCTAGCACCCACTTTTTGCTTGATATTCAGGCAGTGCTTCTTGTAGATCATTGAATGGTCCAGGGTCCCTCCCAGGTATTTTGGTGTGCTGCAATGCTCCAGTGGGATTCCTTCCCAGTTAATTTTCAGAGGTCAAGATGCTTGTCTGTTCTTAAGATGAAAAGCACATGTTTGTGTTTTAGATGGATTAGGAATCAGCTGGTTTTCCCTGTAATAGGCAGTAAGAGCACCTAAAGCTTCGAAGAGCTTCTATTTAACCATTTCAAATCTCCCTGCTTGAGTGGTGATGGCACTTTTGTCAGCATAGATGAAACTCTCTGTCCGTTCTGGCAGTGGCTGGTCATTTGTGTAAATGTGAAACATTTGATGGAGCAAGCACACAAGCTTGAGGCATGCCGTTCTTCTGTTTTCACTACCTGTTTCTCTGGCCCTGGAATTCAACAAAAATGCTCCTGTTTTGTAGCAGATTTCCTATGAAGCAGGTGAGGTGGTAGACCTTTGTGATATTATAAGTTTTTCTCAGGAGAAGGCAATGATTTACAGCATCTTAAGCTGATGACACGTCTATGAAGTCAGCTCCTGTAATCTGCTGCCTTCTATGAGTCTATACTGACTTACAGTTTCAAACTGCATTTCAAGGCAGTGCAGGTGAGGCCAGAGTCTACAACATGCAGGAGCCACTCTCATGTTTACATCCTTCCAATCTGTGAGACTATAACCCCCATCAGCCATAGGCAATAAAGTTATAGCCTTCACATGTGATGGATGCCAGATTGGGAAAAACTACTATATTGCAAATACCAGGATTGGATTATAACTATTTTACTACTGGCATTTTAATATTTTAAAAACACTGTACTGTGAGAATATGGAAATCTGGCATTTGCATCTCCAAGTGGCTGACACTTCTATGTTTACCTTTTAGATTTATTGACTTTAGGGGTAGGCGGGAAGCTTTATCTGGGCTATTTTTGAGTACCATATTGATTCAACCATCAGTATTCTGGCACACAGCTAACCTCCCACATGTATATCCTTGATATGAACCCTGTTGCTCTAAATATATTATGTCAGTTATGGCACGTGGCAGTATTTCAAAAGTCAACAGCCGAAGATATGGAACCGAAAATCAT